TCTTTTATCTCCATGAGGATGGAGTAGCAGTCTTTGTTAAACTCGTACTTTGGGACGTATGGTTTAAAATCTTTCTTTTTCTTCTAGGACGGCTAATCAAAATCCTCAACCGCCCAAATTTCTTTTCTTTTCTTGCGTTCTTCAGCTTTATGAGTCGGCTATTCTTGCCGACTCCCTTTTTGTTTTTTGGACTTCTTTGAGTCCGACTGCTTGCTAGTGGATCAGAGCTCGGTTGCCTGTATATAGGCTTCCGCCTCCATCAGCGCTTCTTGAAGAGTGAAAATTCTCTTCCGGACGAGGTCGAATTTGAAAGCCAACCCGTCTTTCAGACCCTTAAAGAAGTCTGTGTAAGCAACATCGTCAGACAGTCCTTAGATCTGGATTCTCACCAGATTGAAACGTCTAACGTATGAGCGGAGCCCCTCCCTGTCTCCTTGTTGTACCGCGCCCAAGTCAAGGCTTGTCTTTTTGGCGGGTATGTTTATGGAGAAGTTTGAGGCGAACAAGAACGCAAGCATCCTAAAGTTGTTGATGCGCTCAGCCGGCAAATTGTTGAACCACTGTTGGGCAATGCCCTTCAGCGTGGCTGGGAAACACCTGCACCATGCGGCGTCATCCAACCCTTGCAAGTATATGAGGTGGGTGTATGCTAACATGTGGTCTTATGGGTTGGTGGTACCATCATAAGTACCCACCATGACATTCTTAACCTTGGCCGGCTGTGCCGCCTTGGTTATCTCCTTGGAGAATGCAGAAGGTTGTTCTCCAAGTTTTAGCAGATGGAGCTGCCAGTCCAGTGGTTGGACGTTATATGTTGCCTGACCACCGAAGAGGGTGGGCTGCAGGTAAGGCTAGGCAAACGACATGTATGGCTGTTGGGGCACATACGGGACCGAGCCTATCATCTGAGGACCTGTATGGACAGACGGGCCACCTGACAAGCTCTCCTGTACAGATTAAGAATACCTCATTGAGGTATTCTTGAAGCTGTCTGAGAACGTCGACGTTGAAGCCGAGTCAGACAGTTGTTGGTTTCTCCTTTGCTCGATAATAAGATGAGCATCAGAGATAGTCTTCTTCCTGCCATCCGGTTGTGTATGCCGGATGGCCTTCCTATTCCCCGGCTCAGGGAAGCGAAACTTGGTCCAATCAATCAAAGGTTAGGTCCTCTCCTTTGTTTTTAGGTGCGGAGTGGGCTCTCTATCCTTGATCGATTTAGCCTTCTCAAAGCGAGAGGGCTTCTTGGCCGACTGACCCTTGCTGGGACCAGCCGTCCTCTTGGAGATTAAGTCCTTCATCTCTCCCTTGAAGCTTGTCATGAATTTCATGAACTCGTCTCGGGTGATGTGAGCACACTGTCCTGCCGCTTCGGGCTGGCCGGAGGTCTTACTCGGACCCGCCTGAGCATCGCCCCATTCCTTGTTGTCTTTGGAACGGATGCGCCTGGTAATGAGGGATCCATCTGTGGCCGTATATGTTTCGACCTCTGGATCCGTATCATGGTCTGAATTGACCTTAGCCGTAGGCTACTTATCCTCAAGAGGTGATACAGTCTCTTGAGAAACCATCTTAGAGGTACTCTCCCCACAAACGGAGCCAAATGTTTCGGGGTTTTTTGTGTCCCTCAGGAAAGTTACGTCACCAAGACTGATTTCCCACCAGTTGTACTTACAAAACAACGGAAACTCCGGGTCTTCAGAGTTCCGCCTCCGACGATCAAGTTAGAAGGTGTTCGGAGTAATGTAAAAGTGCGGAAAGTAAAGGTAAATCTTCTCGAATTCTGAGATCTGGTGATTTCTTTATTTTTTTGAGAGAATTGATTGCGTGTAAAACAAATAAACCCCCATCCAAAAGGGGGTAAATCTCCTTATTTATAGGGTCATTGGTAAATGTGCCCTTAGGTCATTCTGACCTAAATTGGTGGGCTACGCCGTTTTGCGGCTTTCTCGGGAATTGGGCCGTGAAGGCCGTCTTTTTCCCTGCTGATTAGGAGTGCCACGTGTCAGTTAGGGATTGGTTCATTTTGAACATCTCTTAGGGTGACACGTGTCACCTTCTGATTGGGCCACATGGCCTGGGTATTTTTACCCAAAACAATACTAACTCTGTTACAATGATATACTTTTAAAGCTAGTATATGTAATATTGGGTTGTGAAATCTTGCCAGTCATAGTGCAATGGTATTAAATGATTGCAATGATATTAAAATAACTACAGTGGTACACTAAATTTGAAAATTAAACTGACAAAATGTAGTTTTATCACCTTTTATTATTTTACTAATATACCATTTTATCCTTGTTATGTACCAACAAATACATAACAATATTCTCTTTAGAATTCCTCTAAGTAATGTATAACAAATACTAAAATATTGAAAAGCACATGGGGGTGAGAGAAAGGAGGAAAGAGATGGATAAGTGTTGAGTAAAGGATTTGAACACACAACCTATGCAAACCAAGTATATTCAATGAATCAATTGCATAACCATCTCAGCCAAGCTGTTATTCTATAATTCAGGTTCATTAAAAAGTATATATATAATATTTTTTAAAATTTAGATTTTGGGGCCCCAACTAATGTGAGGCCCTGTGTTGTTGGGCTGAACAACCCAATAGCCGACCCTGCTCACTAACCTCCCTGGCCTCCTCAAAATATCCCATCAATAGAGAGAAAACCCTAGTGTATCTACTAGAAAACTCTTAATCAAAAAGGGATTCAGTCAAATTAAATTATCATGGAATTAGGTACACTTCTACAATTATGATACACTAATTAATTTGATATGAAGATTAAATTACGTATTCAATTCATTTAATTTTAACACTTTTTCCTTCACTATTTTTTATCTCATAAGATTTTTCAAGGTAAGTCTTAACAAGGTATCTATATTAATATTTAATAGCACGAAAAGTTAAAGGAAATTTAGAGTGTCCACGTGTCATTTTTTGTTTATTTTTTTGTATTTTTGTTAAAAATTAAAATTAAAATCACGGGTGTTTGTCATGATAATGTTTTAATTTTCCTTTTTTTTCAGTTTCTTCTCAAAACAATACTTCATTCACCTTCCCAATTCCCAATGTTCAGCTAATTTATACGGTGATTTCACCAAATGCCATAAAGTTTTCACAAATTCTAATGATTAATGGAGTTAACGGTCGTTAGTCGTTAATGGCATTCAATGAATTTTTTACAAGCTCGATGACATTTGGTGAATTTGTGAAAACATTCATGGCATTTGGTGAATTTTTAAAAAGGTAAACTTTTGGGTGAGACGGACTCACCGTGAGTCCGACGCCAACACTCACAATACCATTAATTCATCAACTCTCGCTAAAAACGAAATCCAACCATCATCACCTCATTACCCACTTCCACCGTCTTCCTCCACCACCACCACTTCCATCGTCTTCTTTGTTTTGGGTTTCTTCGTCAACGTTTTCGGGCGGCATTTTCCGGCAGAGAAGACATTGAAATTGAAAGAGGGAATAAAGAGAAGGTGGATGAGGGAGAAAAAGGGACTTGAATATCGATGATTCAAGAAGAAGAAGTGTATTTGTGAGCTTCTAATTGGTCGTAGAAAATCTCTGGCGGTGCTAATAGCTAAGGCCTCACCGCCATTATTGTGTAGGAGCTGAGGATGGAGAATGTTGCTGCTGCTTATGGAGTTGAATGAAAAGAGGGGTTTTGGATGTAATGAGGAGAGAGAATGTTCAATTATATTCTTATTCTTTGTTCTAAGTGTAAGAGATGCTTTGTTTGATTTAAGTGGAAAATCCCAATCTGGAAGGGTTTCCATGGATGTAATGAGGAGAGATAAAATATTGTAGCCATGGAAGAAGAAGAGGGTCAGTCGTGAAGGAGAAAATAATGTCAGGTATTAGATTATTATTGTTTGGTATTAGATTATTATTGTCAGGTATTAGATTATCATTGTTTGGTATTAGATTATTATTGTTTGGTATTAGATTACTATTGTCAGGTATTAGAATATCATTGTCAGACACATTAGACTTACGGTGAGTTTGGACTCAGGCAAAACCTTCTCTTTTAAAAAACTCAGTGCATTTGGTGAAATCACCGTAATTTATACATCAATCCCTTTGTTCAAGACATTTATTGTCATTACACAACGATCTTCAGTTTATCCCTTTCTCTCAGCTATTCCCCAATTAAATCTCAGTTATGAATTTAATCTCTCTTACCTTCTTTCTACCCCAAATCAAAATTTTACTTCCCCAATTCTTAATTATTGAACCACATAATTCATTACGGGTTTGAATCCTCTATCCCCTATTGTTACTCATTCTATGTACCATTTAATTTTATTGGTCCACATCATTTTAAATATCCATTTTCTTATTTAATTTTTAATAACAAATAAATTAAATAAAAGTTGCATAATTTATATTTTAATCCTTATCTCTCTTAAATGACGCCCTTATTTTACCAGATAACGCCCGCATTTAAACATGAATGGACAAACATACCCTTGCGTGTATTCCATATTTTTCTTCACTGGCCTCTAACTCAATCGTACATTCTCTCCTCCCAACAAACCACCACCGACCGAGGGAAAGATTATCGGAAATATCGCCAGAGTTAGAGTCGATTTTTGTAGAGGTGTAGGTCAAACGCCTAAATTTTTCAAAACTCTAGGGGTGTAACGCCTATAATTTTCAAAGTCCCTAGGAGATTCGAAAATTCTACGCATTTCCCCTTAGAATTTTCCAGTTTTTTTGCGTTTTTATCATAACTTTTGATCCCAAACTCGGATTAAGACAAATAATATATAGTTGGAAAGCTTTGGAAGTCTATTTTTTAACCCAATTAGAATCAGGTTAATATCATATCTAGATCTTAAGATATGACTAAAATACTAAGTTTAGTCCAAAACCAACACCCTTCCACTATTTCAACCATATCTTAAAATCTAGAAACGGTATTGACTTGATTCCGATTGGGTTGGAAAGTATACTTTCAGAGCTTTCCAACGTTATATTATTTGTATAATCCAAGTTTGAGATCAAAAGTTATGATAAAAACAAAAAACGCAAAAAAAATTGTAAAATTTCTAGGGGTGAAACACCTAGAATTTTCGAATCTCCTAGGGACTTTTGAAAATTCTAGGCGTTCCTCCCCTAAAGTTTTGAAAAAATTAGGCATTTGGCCTCCACTCCCAAAAAAAAAAACATCTTATATTCCGGCGATGTGTCCAATGATCTTGCCCTCAATCAGTGGTGGTTTGTTGGGAGGAGAAAGTGTTAGATTGAGTTAGAACATGGAATACACGCGAGGGTATGTTTGTCCATTCATATTTAAATATGGGCATTCCATAGTAAAATAAGGGCGTCGTTTCACTTTTCACTTAATTTTGTTTTAGTCCTTATATTTTACAGCAGTTTTCTTTTTTTTTTTTTTTTTGAAAAATTTTACAACAGTTTATTCTCTCCCAATTTTTTTCTGTTTCTCTATAATTCTCAACATATAATGTGTGATTTCATAATTAGTGACATGATGAAATGTTTTTTAATTCAATCATTTTCCAAACTTACTATGCTACAAAACTCTCATAAGGCAATCACCTTCTTCAACACTCTCATACCCCCAAAAATTCCCCCAAATTCGATTTCTAGGGTTTGGAATCTGCTACAATGTGCATCATTCTGCAATCTCAAAGTCCATTGGCGCAAAGACGAGAAGCTCGACGAATCAATTCGAGCCGACAAGAAATGGCGGCTTTGCGCTCGAATCGTCAAAGAGGTTCTCAACGAACCAGGTCAGGTGATGCCATTGCGCTACTTAGAGAAGCGTAGAGAAAGATTGAAGCTCAACGTCACTACAAAAGTATTCATTGATCAAAACCCCCTTCTTTTTGATACTTATTTTGATCGAATTCGACCTAAATCGGATTCTGTTACTTTTATTAAACCTAGTGAATCGCTTCGAAGATTTTTGGAAGAAGAAGAGCGGATTTATGCTGAAAATGAGCTGTTAATTGTTTCGAAAATTTGTAAAATGTTGATGATGGCGAAAAATAGGGTGATTAATGTGGAGAAATTGGTTCATGTTAAGCGAGAATTCGGGTTTCCGAATGATTTTTTGAGCAAATTAGTGCCCAAATACTCTAATTATTTCAAATTGGTTGGTGGTTTTGATGAGAATTCGTACTTAGAGTTGGTTTCTTGGGAACCCGAGTTTGCGAAATCTGTGATAATGTTGAAGGCTGAGGAAGAAGAGAGGTTGACTGGGATTAGGGTTAGACCTTCATTTGATTGGAAATTGCCACCAGGATTTTATATCAAGAAAGGAATGAGAGAGTGGGTTAGAGACTGGATGGAGATGCCTTACATTAATCCTTATGACGATGCATCTCATTTAGACTCGAGTTCGAGGGAAATGGAGAAGAGGATGGTAGGGGTACTTCATGAGTTATTATCGTTGTCGTTGTTTAAGAGGATTCCTGTTCCGATTTTAGGGAAGTTTAGTGAGGATTACAGATTGTCGAATGCATTTTCGAGTGTGTTTACTAGGCATTCGGGTATATTCTATATGTCTTTGAAGGGAGGGATTGAGACCGCGGTGCTGAGAGAGGCGTATAAGGGTGGTGTATTGGTTGACCGGGATCCGTTGCTTGAGATTAAGGACAAGTTTGTTGAGTTGTTGGAGGAGGGGTGGGAAATGAGGATGGAGGAATTGAGGTTGAGGAGGGAAAGTGCTCGTAATCGCAATAAGTCAGTGACGCTTGGGAGTTCGGAGTTGGAGTCTCAAGAGGATGATGATCATCTTTGAAATGGGGAGAAACGTGCTCGAAGTTGTTGTTATGCTGATGGCAGAGATTTTCGCACTGGTCCTAGCGTTCAATTGTTCATAGTGGCCTTATATTTTGGGTATTGATAGCAAAAGTAGAGTTGGTGGAATTCAGTTATATGCTAGATAATATTGATTTCACTTCCAATTTGATGTTGCTAGTTATGTTTGTTTACTTTGGATTTTAAATAATTCAATCTTAGGCTAGTAGAGAACCTGTTCCTTGGCATTTTTATACTTGCTCTCTATTATTTCTCGTTGTATGACTGCTCCTTTGTTCGAGTATAATTTCTGCTATAAATAACATGATACAAATTGTGAACACTTTGTGCAATTGTTGCTATACCATCTATATGCTTTTATGTGATTACAGCTGAATATATGCTAATTTAAATTCTCTAAGTGCATTAGACAATGTTTGACACTGAATTGAAAATGCTGAAGGTTGAAAGAATGTCAAAGAAAAACAAATATGATTTTATATTTTAGTTATTCACACAACTGAACCTAACATCTTAATGAAATATGGCTTTAGCTGTATTTGGCTATCTATTATTGTCAAAAGCTACCTGGAATGCTTTCCAATAGCTATGATCAGATTTGTCCAATGATTTTGTGTTTGCCCTCCCTAGCTAAATTCGGCTTCAGTTTTTTGTTTCTGTGTTGAGAGAGTACGAGTTCTAAAGGATTAACATCGTGTACTTATGAATGTGGTATATGTGTGAACATTGATCTGGCAGCCTTTAAGCATGATTTCATCGCAACCTTTCTTAAAATGAGGGTACTCTATCCTCAGATGGTTTTTGTCTAGTGTGGAGATACTGAGGTTTATAGTAAAAATTATTAACGGAAATTATGTTAGGAAAGTTTGCACGTTTCGTACTTAGTAGACATGCAGTTTGCAATTTTTGATTGTCTTACTTATGCAGGAGACGGGAAGGGAACTTCAACCAGAGGACAAATAGGAGCGAAGTTGTCATGACAACAGCTAGGAAGGCAAATATTATAATAATCTAGTAAATGTTGCTCACACAAAAGAAATGGCATATTTTACAACCGTCCGGAACCTAATCTGCTTTATATCAGCTGGTATTTCAAAATCACTCCCTTGTCATCTTCTGTTATATACCATCAAAGAAGCACCTTCTTGTGACCAACAAGAAGTGCATGAATGCCCTACTATTTAAGTAGAAGCTATTTAGATTTTACTTAAGTACAGAAGAACATTATTCTTTTATCTAGCATCTGTGCCCTTTTAATTTGTCATGCTGTTCAAGATGGAGAGAAAAAATATTGCTTTATGGGTTTTCATTACTACATTCTTGGCTGTGATATCTAAGTCAAATTGTCAATATAGACCAGCTCCTGCACTTCCATTCCCGAGTTTTCCTGCACTCCGTCCTCTGTGCCTTTCCCAATTTGCCCTTGTTAATCATGCATGTTCTATGCTTCCTTATTCACCGTTGCCCCCTCCTGCTCCACCTTCTCCACCAACTCCTCCTGCACCTGCTCAACCCCCTTGCCCCCCGAAAACTGGCCATCGACATGGACACCATCACAGGCATAGGCATACCAGTTCCGCCCCTGTAAGTGCTGCAGCAGAGGAATGTTGTCGCTGGTTGAAAGAAGTCGACACTCAATGTGTCTGTGATTTGCTCGTTCGTTTGCCTATATTTCTGGCCAAGCCTTCACATGATTATACGGTTAATGTTAGTGAAGACTGTAGTGTCACCTATCAATGTCCAGGCCGGGTGATGAATTGATTTGTGAGGTTCAATTTGATTTATAAGGTGTTAGGGTATGTACTATGTAGGCTAAAGGGGTATGGTAATTATTTATGCAACTTTTTAAATAATAGCTGTTTATGTATGGTGCTTTATTTTGTGTGTACTCTTCAAATAACATAGCTCTTTGCATATGTATAAGTATTAATTTCTTTCACTTCAGATTCTCTGTCCCTTGATTGAACTGTTGTAGCACTTTGAAATTAGTCTATCATGGTCTCACAAGCGACTTATCGCAACAACAATGCAACACCTTGTGAAATTCTGGCCATGGATGGTGTATGGGAAGGTCAAAGTGATTGTAAGCCTAATCGCCATATCGAAAGATTTGTGGAGATGCTTTGCTTAACATAGTAGCTTTGAAAACTGTCTAGCAGAAAGGTTCGTTCTTATAAACACATTGAAAGTGTCAATTTCTTGACAAATGATTTTAAAGACACCATCTCTATCTCCAATGGTGGGTCTTAAATTTTAAAATATTTTATACTTAGTTTTTTTATTTTTGTTATCTCCAATGGTTAGATCTAATCTAATTACAAACAGGCCCGTATCTAGGGCAGGGCAGGTGGGGCAACCGCCCTGGGCCCAATGTTGAAAAGCCCAAATTTAGTTATACTTAAGGCCCCTAAAAAAACCAAAAAACTATAAGATGTCTGTTATCAAGAGAAGTCAAACGGTTATGGTTTTCTTCCCCCTAATTTTTCGCACTAATTATTCAGTTGCCAAACTGTATTTAATTTACACCTCAAAAAAAATAAAAAAAAATCATTCAATCAATCCCCTTTTTTTGCTAGTTCTGTTTCAAAAATTCAATTACCTCTTATAGTCTTTCCAAACCTACATTAAATCCTTTCAAAATAAAATCTTAATTAACTCAAATTACTTAACTAATGATGAAAATATAAACGATCATATATCTCTTCAATTTCAATGAGCCATTTTTTTCTCTTTTTTCTTCTTATATTTTCATGCATATGTTTTCTGAATTTGGATTTGTTTGATTGGTTTCGTTCAATAATCTTGGGTAAAAGTTTTTCAGTCCCTTTGTGTTAGATTGTTAGATAATCCTTAGATTTCAATTGATTTCATATGAAATTGTAAAGCCCGTTTTCAGTTGATGGGATGCACTTGTGTGAAGACATACCTTTGTAAAGTTATTAGTTGGTGAAAGAATAGGTAACAAATTAAGAGCATATTTTTTTAATGCTTCAGCTCTAAGTATATTATACGAAGTAAGCAGTAAGAACATTGGTTGTTTTAGTTAACTATTATTGACTTTACTTCTAAAAATGCTAGTAGAAATTGTTTAGTATGAACATTTAGACTTTTATACTTCAATATATGTATATGAAATGTTTTATGAGATCGTTTATTTTATTTATTTATTTTCTTTTTTTGAGAAATTATAAGATTGTTTGTTAATCATAAGAAAAAGTACCATTTGTAGGGTTTTTTTTTTGCCCCTTAAAGTTTAATTATTTTAAATAATATGGAGTACTTGTTAGTTAGGGCCCCAAATTATATGTTCGCCCTAGGCCACCTAAATCTCAGAAACGGGCCTGATTACAAATATTTGAAATTCATCTTGGGGCTTTTACCTCTGGTAGTGAAAGTGTTAGGGGTTTGTCAGGTGACTTCACCAAGCGGGCTGGTTCAAGCTTCTAGATAAACCATGTTGGGTATGTAGACACTAACACGAATATCCGACTTATTTTTGCAAAAATAAAACTACCTCCGTGTTATTATAGATACGCTGATTTGACTTTAATTTTTCAATAGACTACATCCATCCATCCTTATCTTTTATAAGTCTGAGAAAACTCTAAATATTTAAATAGTGTTTGGGCAGGGCAATTATATCATTCAAAATGTTTATTTACTTATTTGCCTTCATTAATAATATTTTTTTTAACGTTTGAAAAACTCTTATATATAGTGTTTGGACAATCATACCCTTTTAAATGTATATTTATTTATTTACCCTCATTAATGTAGATTGTCTTTTTTAAAAAAAACTATCAAGAATAGTGTGCGGATTTTCATACCCCTAAGACCTAAAATATTTGTTTATACATGTTCTCTCATTAATGATGCCAACAACTAAATTTGTGACATAGGCTATATCGAAAAATCTCACTGGCGTGACTAGCTATGGCATGCATTGCACGTGTTAACTACCCTAGTTAACTATAAAATTGTGTACACATTAATGAATATATTTTATTAAAAAAATATAAAATATACATGAGACCAACCCAACAATACTTTTCACACACACGCGCACGTAACATATACACACTAACACACACAAACAAACAAAAATTTAATTTAGGTGATTGTTACTTTCGAGTCGCACTTTTGTCAACCCTAAAGCGTATCCAAATTTTTGATACGCGCTATTATGGTATCGGTTTTTTCGCTTCAGTTTGGTCAGATAATAATTTTTGTTTTTCGTAACGTTTAAATAAAGGCCATCAAAAACTTCAGTTAAAATCTACAACTAACCACCAATAAAAATAATTCTTAAACATTTAATATTTAAATCCTTCGTAGTAATACAATAAACTGATTGTAAAACAACTGTAAAAAAAAACATATAAAAGATGCTATCAATTACTAATTACTAAATAAACGGAGAAAAATTGAGGAGGAAAAGTGAATAATAATTTCGGGTAACAAGTTAAATATTAAAATGAAGAGAGAAATGAAAACATTTTAAGTAAAAAAATATTGGACCCGTATTTCTAATAAGCCCACAAAGTATAGGGCTGCCACTTAAAGACCTAAGCACAAGCCAGGATATGGATGAGGAAGAATCAAGCTAACGGCGTGATTGATACAAATAAGGCAAGAGGATCAATCAACAAATCAACAAGGCAATTATTTATACTAAAAATACGTGGAAGCATAAAGGCAAGAAGAATAAATCACGAAGATAGATTATGTAAATCCGTGTAAACTCGAGCAATCCCTAGGTATAAATAGCTAGAAACACGTGTATAGCCTCATTCATACTCTGATGCTGGAATTATTTACAAATTACTTAATAATAATCGTAGCTATTCTGACCAAGGAAGCTGTTCTTACTCAGTATTGTCGTTCTTTACTCTTATTCTTCTATTAAATCTTTATTCCTTTATCGTATTATTGTTCTTTGTTATTGTGATTGTTCTTGCAGGATTGATTATTAATACCCCTAAAACCTTAAGCAAATTCCTAAAAACTACCCCTCTAAGGGCCTGTTCGGTTCAGCTTAATTTCAGTTAAGTTCCTAATTTCCTTCTCTCATAAGCAATTCATTACAGCTCTATTTAGTTCAGTTTAGTTTAGCCCCAATCAGTTCAGTTCAGTTCAGTATATCAGAACAGGCCCAAGATTTATCCTAAACAAAAAAGTTAGTAATGTATAGTCTTTCAATTGGATTAGTTATCTGTACTTCACTTCGGATTGTTAAAAGTTAAAAAAAAATCCGACCTAACTCTAATATTTTGGTTCGATTACCCTAGAATGTTGATTACTATTGTATCAATTAGATAATTGACAAGACACACATTATTGTATAGTAATTGACAAATGTTGATTACTACCCTTAAAAAAATAAAACAAAATTGAATACTATCCCTAAAGTAAAAAATGTTATTAATTATTATCCTTAAAATTGATTAATTTTTACGATTACAATATTTAGCCATTTTTTGATTAGTTAGCCCTACATTACTTATCACCCTAAGTAATTTATACCATTTTAATCCCATTTTATAAACAAGTGGTGATTAGGGGATTTTTATCCACCAATCACCGTCTGACAAGTGGACCAACCAGGTTCCGCCACGTGTCCTTCACGTAGGCCAATAGGAGCCTGCCACGTGTCAATCACAGATACGTCCTCTACGGACCAATTGAGACACGCCACGTGTCCACCCATGCCAAATGGGAAACCGGCCAACAAGGCCCAATCCTGTTTAGAGGCCCGGTCAGCCCTAGGTTTACCCTAAACCTAGAGAGTGGCACGCTTCTCAAGACTATAAATACTTAATTAATCCTCATTAAGAGAAAAAAAAAGGAAGAACAGAAACGTTACGGAACACACTAATAACCGGCTGATCTCGCTAACAAAGCAGATTACCAACATTAAACACTCTCACCTAGAGAGACCTTATTACTTTAATTTCCGTATTAATTACTCCTTAATCAGGTACTAACTTGACCGTTGGAGGCGGAGCTCTGAGGAGTCTCCGTTATTTTGCAGGTACAAGCGTCCGGTTCCAGTCTCGGAATTGTAACTCTCCCGCAGGACATCAGAAAACCCCGAAACATTTGGCGCCGTCTGTGGGGAGAGTACTTCAGAGATGGCATCCAAGTCTGTACCGACTCCTGAAGAGAGGCGTCCCCTAAACGACCCTCAAGTTCAGTCGGACCATGACACTGAAAGTGAATTTGAAGTTGAAACTCATACAGCTCCAGACGGGACCCTAAGGGCCCGACGTACCCGTCATACCGAAAGGAGGGAACAGGAGCATCTTCAAACAGGAAGCGAGCCAGCAGGCGCACCGCCTGCTCGGCAACAACCGACTGATGGGTCTGCTCCCATCACAAGGAACGAACTCATGACCTTCATGAGGGACTTCAAGGGAGAGATTCAAGAGTTGATCAACAAGAAGCCGCCTGCTTCAGTCAAGGAGCAGTCGGCCAAGAAACCTTCCACTTCACTGAAGAGGAAGCCAGTTCAAGGGCGAGAGGCGACTCCTTATCCTAAATCTAGGAAGCGGGAGCCACCTGCCCTTGATTTCACAAAATTCCGTTATCCTACAGGAAATAGGAAACCGGTTCGTCATATTCAGGCGGACGGGTCAAAGCAAACATTCACAGATGCTCGGCTACTGCTAGAGCAGAAGAAGAGTGACCGATTGTCAGAGTCGGCTTCTACTTCAGACTTTCAAGACAGTTTGCGAAATGCCTCGATGAGGCATACTCAGTCGTACCATGAGAGTCAGTCAGGCGGCACCTCCCGTCAGTCCGGCTTTCATAGTGCCCAGGCGGTACCAAACTTACCATTTGTGCCGCAACAGTATTTTATGCAGCCACCTCCATTTGGTGGACCTGCAGCAAAAAACGTCCAACCTATGGACTGGCAGCTACGGTTGCTTAGACTTGGTGAACAG